CGGCCCAAGACCAACGGCCCACCACCTCGGCCGAACAACCACCGCGGCCACCGCCGCCACCGCCACCGCCACCAACACCGGCGGTGATAAAGACCCTATATTGGGAGGATCCGCGTCGCCCTACGCTGTTCCAGGGGTGGGACCCGTCCGTCCCAGCTTAAGGTGTTAGGCACCGTGCCGAGGGGCATGGCCACAGGGACGTAAATTTTGTGGTCGCAAACGGTCCCAGTAGGGCACCGGCCGCCCCCCTACCGTATACAGGCTTGTGTGAAGGATCCGGGTGTCCTCCACATCGACCATTTATTTCGCCCGGACTTTTCACGTGGGGGCTCCAGCCCAGACGTCGTGTCGGCGTCTGACTGGATTTTTCGGACTGATTTTCGGTACGGCTGCTTGACCATGGACCATGATTTAAGGTGTAATTATTTTATGGCAACGGATTGTCCCCGGACCTCGAGATTTGTGCTGTACCCCCATATACGGCCGTATGAACACAACACAGAATAAAGAGTCGGTGATTCGGAACACCGACGACCGGCACGGCGTTTCCCCGGACGGGCTCCCCGGGATTGGTTACCCCGAGGAGCTTTCCGTGTCGTTGAATAGCAAGGGGACAAGAGATGAAGAACGTAGTGGAGCGGTGGTTTTATCTGCGCACGAGAAGGACGGCAGCACGGCGGAAATGGTCAGCTGCGAGGAGACAGCTGATCCGTTGGGGCTGCCTCTGTCTGCAACAGATGAAGCGGTCATGACTGGGAGTATCGATCACCTTCCGGGCGTGTCACTCGGTGGAGCGGAGGAATCAAGGGCTGCGACAGCTGATGCCGCGGTGAAGAGGAAGAGGGCTCCCACGGAGTCACCTGAGGTAAACCCATCGGAGGTGCTTTCATCAGACTCCGGGCCGATTAGGAGAAGCTCGAGGCTTCTTCCGCCAGCGGCATTGGAGGATTCCTCGCCGGGAGAAGGGGCGAGTGGTCGCTCCAAGGGCGAACCAATAGTTATTTCTTCTGAGGACTGCCCAGCGGAGGACTCGTCGCCTGGACGGAGAAATCGGAAATCCAGGAAGAAAAAGTTCAAAAGAGGAAGAAACTCTGCCCAGTTTGAGTTGAAGGTTCCAAGTCCGGAGGTCCCCGCCTTAAGGAGGGAGCCTAAAGAAGCCTATGCTTCCATGCCCTCTGCGGAAATTGCGGGCATGGCCAGAGTGTGGCTGGATGATATTGATGTGATGCGAGTCAAGAGTAGTAAGCTCCAGGGCGGAATTTCCGGAGCAATTAAGACTCGCATCGGACTTTTGAAGGAGGTTATCCTGGTGTTTTCGGAAAGGGTGGAGGATACCGGGGACGTCCCCTTCCTGAGGCAGAGAAATGAGGACCTCTCTGGGCAACTTCGAGCGGCCAAAAGGACGGAGGCCCAGCTTAAGGCCGAACTAAAGGAGTCGCGGGAGCGTGTCTCGACCCTGAGTGCGGACCTGAACGCGCTAAGAGAGCGTATCGGTCTACTTCGCGGGAGGAAGGCGGAGTGAAGGCCCCTGTGGTTGGGCAGCCGCCGGTTCCGACTGTGAAACCTCGTGTTCCCCGTAGCCTTGGAGCTCGTGTTCCGGCCAGGGCTGCTGCTACTACGGATCCGGAGGACTCTACGGGTCCATCAACTAGGAAAAGGCTGGAAGAATATGAATCCAGACTGACAAAAGAGATTGGCACGTTGATGCACATACAGAAGGATCTTACGGCCCTAAAGAAAAGGGTCTACGACAACGACCCCCCACCCCCGGGAAAGGGCATTCCGAGAATTGTGGAAAACGTCCGGATCCGCCCTCCATTAAGATCCAACAGCGTGGCATTACTCACGGACTCGGAGTTGGTGGTCTCCTCGGATGGTCAGGGTCCGGGGTCGTATCGAGCGGCGGTTATGCGGCACGGAGCAGGAAGGAGGGGCGGATCTGGCCCGTCTAAAGAGACTGCCTCTCACCCGCCCAGGGAAGGAAGGATGGAGCAGAAGATTGGACGCACTGGCCCGCGGGAGGAAGGGCCCAGGACGAGGACCAAAAAGGGTGATGGCCCCCCACGCCGTCGCATCCCCAGGTCTGCAGCAGTGGCCCTCAGATCCGCGAACGAGGAAATACCGCATGCGGAACTGCTCAAAAGGGCGAAGGGGAAAATATGCCTTGGAGACATGGGGATAATAAGACCCCGCATCAGGGTTGCGGCCAACGGCGGATTCCTGATCGAGGTCTCTGGCGAGGACGGATTTTACAAAACAATACAGATATCCTCCCGTGCATCGCGAGGAGATTAACAGGCAAGTGAGTGATCTCTTTGCGAATAATTTAATTGATTACTCTACATCACCATACAGTTCTCCAGTATGGATTGTGCCAAAGAAACCGGATTCCCACGGGAACAAGAAATGGAGAATGGTTATCGATTACAGGAATTTGAATGAGAAAACAATAGGCGATGCCTACCCACTCCCCAACATCATCGATATTCTGGACCAGCTAGGGTCCGCTAAATACTTTTCGGTCTTGGATTTGGCGTCCGGATTTCACCAAATCTTAATGAGCCCGAAAGACGCTCACAAAACTGCCTTCACAACACCATACGGACACTACCAGTTCAAGAGGATGCCATTCGGACTGAAGAATGCGCCTGCTACTTTTCAAAGATTAATGGATAACGTATTATCAGGACTCCAGGGAAACGAGCTCTTCGTATACATGGATGATATTGTATTATACGCAAAATCACTAAGAGAACACGAAATAAAATTCCAACGACTAGTACAAAGATTACGTTCAGCGAACTTAAAGCTACAACCGGATAAGTGTAAATTCCTGTGTAAAGAAGTCGCTTATTTGGGCCACATCATTGGGTCGGATGGCGTTAAGCCAGACCCTGGAAAAATTAAAGCAGTAGCTGAATTTCCCGTTCCTCGAACACCGAAAAACATTAAGCAATTTTTGGGACTCGCGGGCTATTATCGCCGCTTTATTCCGAACTTTTCTAAGGAGGCCAAGCCTCTTACCGATTTATTAAAGAAAGATAAAGAATTTCACTGGTCAACAAGTCAAGAAGGAGCTTTTACCACTTTAAAAACCGCCCTATGCTCCAATCCTATCCTACAATATCCAGATTTTACGAAAAATTTTACTCTCACAACCGACGCATCGGGATATGCGGTTGGTGGAATATTAAGTCAAGGCCCTATAGGTAAGGACCTTCCGATAGCTTACACTTCGCGCGTTTTAAACGCTGCAGAACAAAATTACTCAACCATTGAAAAGGAGTGCTTAGCCATTATATATTGTGTAAGTCACTTCCGACCTTACCTCTATGGTAAACCTTTTACTATTGTTACTGATCATAAGCCGTTGGTATGGTTGCACTCGGTTAAAGATCCTTCATCGCGTTTATGGAAATGGAGAACTAAATTACTGGAATATGAATACGAGATAAAATATAAAAAACTTTAAATAATAACGCCGACGCCTTATCTAGAAATCCCCCAGTAAATTTTATTTTCCCCATTGATTCCGGTGATGATTCTGATGAATCTTTATTTTCTCCTAGATCACGGATTACTACCCCTCTACTTCCCTTACCCCCACCGAACTCACCAGGTCCTTCGAACCCGTCAATAACGAATCCTGCAAATCAAATGAATATGTCATTAAATTCACCTCATGACGATTATATAGAAATGTCTAACTCCGCGTCAGGACTAACAATTGAAGAAATTCCGATGTCAAGTGATGATGAATTAAGCTCCGATTCTGACCACGATTACGAGGAAATGTTCACTCATGTGACCACGCCATACAAAAATCGCCCTATTGAGTATAATGTAAATCAAGCTCCCAATATTATCGAAGTTCGTAATAATTTTTTAGAACAAAAGGGAGTTCACGCTATATTTATTCAGTTAAACGGTATGCCTTTTGACCAAGGAGCGCAATTATACTATAATGCTAATCTATTGCCAAGGTATGAACATCTTACATATGAACGAGCTACTATACGTACCATTAAAGCTAACACTTTAATTTCTTTGCCCATAAAATTAAATTCTTATACGTTAGTCGAGTCAACCAACCTGAAAAATTGTTTACTGTCTCTTTTAGACGTAATAACAGAACTAGAATTAACGAACATATATATGTCTAAAAGTATTTCATTCGACGACCTTCCGTGGTCATATGTCATTAAACAATTAAAGAAAATTTTAACGGGAACCAATTGTCGAATAATTATTTGCCAAAATTTGGTAAGAAACCCTACTGTACCAGAACGCGAACAATTAATATTAGAAAACCACGCGTCAGCAGTAGGAGGACATAAAGGTGTCATTAAACCTATAATAGGATTAGGCCTCATTATTTTTGGACTAATATGAAAAAGGATATACAGGATTTTATCCAGAAATGTAGAGATTGTCAGTTGAAAAAATTAACGAGAGTAAAAACTAGACAGCCAATGATTATTACAGATACCCCAGGCGCAGCTTTCGACTAAATTTCATTAGATATCATGGGACCTCTACCTATAACGAACGATAATAACCAATATATATTAACCATACAAGATCTATTGACTAAATACTCTGTCGCTGTTCCCCTAGTCGAGACCACTTCGCTTTCCATAGCTGACGCATTTTCTAAAAATTTTATTTGTATCTACGGTGCCCCTAAAGCCATGTTAACGGATCAGGGAACAAATTTCTTATCTTCTCTAATGAGAGCTTTAGCAAAAAAATTTAAAATACAATTTAAGACAGCCTACCACCCACAATCCAACGGGTCTATTGAACGATCGCATCACGTTCTCATAGAATATCTGAAGACACAGATAGATAATGAAGCGAAAGCTCAGAGTTATGATTCTCTTGGAAAGTTCTAAAAAATCAGTCTAAAGTTCTTGCAGACACCGGATAGTGAGCTGTTGCTTGTCTCCGACAGGGCTCATTAGAAGGATTGGTCATTTTCTCGATAGAGTGCGCTAAATTGAGAGATGATGCATGGTAAGAAGGAGAAGAAGATAAAGAAACTCCCAGTGGATAGGGAGAGAAAGAAGATCCACAACTATTGGACTCGGAGCGTTGACCACGGGTATACCCAGCACAACCCGTCGGACGGAGAGTTATGGGGGGACGAGAATCACGACCCCAACATAATCATGGAGCAGGCCAGGAGGGCGCTCAAGCCTATCCTTGCCAGACCCGAAGATTACCCTCCGGATTGGGACAAAGAGAACGTCCTAACGCCGCCGAAGCCGGAGGATTTGCTGACGCCGCGGGAGTACCGGATGGTGTTTGGATGCGACTCCCCGAAGTACCAAGAGGCGATAACCGAACCCACAACCGTAACCGAGGAATCCTTGGTGACGCCTATCCGGACCCCAACAATCCTTACTTCGAACCAGGCCCGCGACGTAGAGGGAACGATCCCTGGGCTATCCCAGGTGATCGTTGGGGGTCTGTTGAACGAGGTCCTGACGGAGGCTATGACTTCCGGGGATTATAAACTACCATCCCCACCTCCTGCTCCGGATAGTGAAGAAGAGTCAAGCGTTTATGCCTCTGCTGACGAACGGACCCCGTGTAAGGAGGCAACTCCTAATGTGTTATGGAGTTTTAAGAAACAAAACACATTTTTCCGGAACATATTCTTTTCCAAAGGAAATAAGAAGGGTAAGAGCGATGTTGGCCTTGCTGGTTCTGGTGGTGGAGGGAAAAAAGAGGAAGATCCACTCCTCCCAATTACTAGTACTACCCCAACTACGGTAGAGGACCAAAAAAGGGAGGAACATCCCAGTGGTATGAATGGCCAAGTCTCAGATGCTGTCAACGCCATATGGGATTTCTCTTTAGGCGATGGAGGCGATACTTACGCTCAGGGGAGAAAAAGGCAGTTCTAATGAAAGAAATTGGGATAAATATTTAAGTCTCGCTATGTTCTCATATAATACAAGTGTGCATGAGGGTACAAAATTCTCACCATACGAATTAGTATTCGGAAGACTTGCTCGATTGCCCTCTTCGCACGAACCTATCGAAGAAAACCTCGAACCAACGTATCGTGAATACTTAACGGATTTATTCAACAAATTACATGAATTACAGAACCAAGCGCGAGTAAACTTATTAAAGTCAAAAGAAACAAGCAAGAAATATTATGATAGACGAATTAACGTGCATAACTTTAAAATTGGAGACTACGTATTCTTGTTGAACGAACCTAAGAAGGGAAAATTCTCGAATCAATATACCGGACCCTATAAAATAACGGAAATCTTGCCTATGAATAATGTGAGATTATCAATCAATAATCATTTTCGTGTCGTCCACTGCGATAAATTAAAAATAGCCCATGTCAACCCAGGATGAAAAAATAATAATACTTTTTTGCCTGTTTTAGATGCTTTGGGATCGTCGTCCTGCCCTGCCGGGCCCACAACGGGCCTTGCCACACTTGAATAATATCAACGAATTCTTCGTTTACTGTATCAAGACAGAAAGTTACCGAAACACGGAAACTGGAAACGCTTTTTGCAGCCCTTGCTACAACCGTATAAAACTCCTAGTTCGTCGAGGGCTTTACGTCTTAAATAAAGCACACTATGTAAGCTTTGGATTAATCAACCTCGAATCACGTTGTTCTGTTCATAATTGTCCAACGCCAATAATTACCACACGTCCCCTCAGGTGTTGTTTTACCTGTCAGGACTTTTTTAACGATTTTGTGGCTTGCGAGGAGGAAAACGGCCACACCCTTGACGCAAATCGTCGCCTTCTAATCCCTATAGAAGAAACTCATTTCTAAATAATAACCAACTCCTCTGACGATTCACTAACTACGGACGGGACCGAAACACTTTTTTTTGTAGTAATACTATTAGAAACACTTAGTTATAAAAACGTGGTACGTAAATACGTAGACCATGCACCGGATAAACTTTGCATAAAATAATACATATACCCATACATATATATTGCATTTAAGGGAACAATTCTAGTATCCCACTGCTTTCGTTATTTCTATTAAATGTCTAACCGCGTTTCAGACATATAGTCCTACCGCTTTTAATATTTTTATGAATAAGATATCTATAAAGATAATATCGTTGAGAGCTATATAAACGCTTAGTAATAGGAAAACGTGGTACGCTAAGATATAGATCGCGCACCTGAAACCGCTACATTCATCACAATTATGTTACTCATAGGAATAATTTTTTCATTAATTATAGTACCTAGGGTAAGTGGCTTAATTGGTTTCGACTGTGGAGGTCGACATTTGAATATAACCACTGTTTCTCTACTAGATGTAGGTGAATGCAACTTGAAATATCATACTCCAACCACCACCCGTACTAAAATTCAGCTTTTACAATTATCCGATTATAGCTACGCTGAGGTTTTTCAGTGTAAAGTCGAAATTTCGCGAACCATATATCATTGTGGAATACACTCCCACGTTGCAATAGTATTCAATGGAAAAGCCGATTACGTACATGAAACGGGATACCATACCTGCATGCGTTTATGGCTTTTGGCTCATGGCAACCGTACCTAGTACACGCGTCGTGTAGTGCTTAAGACTCTCGAGTGCTCTTGTGGACTTTTCTCATCGGAGAATAGACTCAGTGCGGACACGTAGTGAACTCAGCAGTGCGACTCAACCCGGACAGCTCTAGATACAGCATCATCGGCGGCTCAGTCTCATCACGCAACGCGCACGCCGGCGCCGCGTGGAAGCGGCTCACGGGCATCTACATTCACGAGGCCGGCTCTCGATCAGTAATATCGATCCGCGCAAGTGAATTAAGACTTTTTCATCCACCGTTAGTTCATAGACTGCTCAACTGTAAGCATATTACTCTTATTAAACTGTGACACGATATTTTACTCAAACGATCCGAGTTACGATCACGTGATCTTTCACCCTCTCACGCGTGCATTCGTTCCCTGAGCCTCTCACCGCTAAGTCCTCTCACCCTGCTTCCATCCGCAGCGGTACCAGCGAACTCTCCTAGCGAGAATCGCTAACATTTTTTGGTTTACCGAAGGAAAAATTTCCCTTGGAAAAGACGGTATTCTCGATAAAATAAAAATAAATGAAACCTCCTACAGAAGTTTTACAATCGCTGGAGATATAAGAAACGACGGCACATGTTCTGGCGCGCAATATTCTGACTCATATGGAACTTGGGACAATGTTATAGTCCAGGCCTCCGCTAAAATCACAGTAAAATCCGGATTTTCTCCCGTACATTTAAATTCGGGAAAAATTAAGTTACAATCAGGAACTTCGTGTCCTCTAACTGACGGTTTCTGTCTAGATCCCGACGACGGTTACTCCTTTTGGAAACCTATGCCCTTATCATCCTGTAAATTTGAGCAATACGACGTCCTGTACGAAGGACCAGCAAATAAGCTCACGTCTACCACCAGCGACTTGCCGGGTCAACCAATCTACAGCTTGACCACTCAAGACATTACCTTCGCCCTCATGACAACCAAGGAGCTCTCTCTTTGCGGATATAAATTACTCCGTACGGAGCACCCGAAACTATTCATCCTAGAAGTTCAAGACGGGGATACATATTTAATAATACAAGTATAAATGTTGCGTATCATCCCGCGCGTCGTGCACGACATACACATATATACGCATATGGCTACGCTTGCATACACGCATATATACCATGTCGGGACGGATCACTCGGACTCTGCTCGGCATAAAAAGATGCGGCTGGCGGTGTCGGCTCCGTGCAAAGGCGAGCGGCGAGTCGGCGTCGCGCGGGCATTTGTTTGCGTGGTCGCGGCGATTTTGGTCTCGCTTCCGCGTTTCCCCCCTAGTCCCCTTTTTCTGGTCCGCGGTTTCTGTGATCCAGGACAGCCAATGGGCGTGCGATTTCGGAGACGGGGATGCTGGTGGGGATCGGGCGGGATATAAGTACGTTGCTCGCGGGCATCATCGCCAGTTAGAAAAGGGTGATCATAGTCAGTCGTAGATATCGCAATTGACCGTTCCGAAGCAGAGTTCGATCGCGACTCAGAGTTACGGCTCCCAGGCGTGGTCGCGATCGTAGTGTCCGGTTCCGGTGTGAGATAATAATCATACACGCAGAGACTATTGTCATCGTTTTAACCGCGGCTCAGGGCATCAGCCTCAAGGCGTTGCCGTGGTTCCTTATGCGACCGATTTGGATTATAATCAAAGTGTAAATGGAAAAATAAACTCGAACTAAAAATACAAAGGTTTTTTCATCAAGCGAAACAACGATACGAGCACGAAGGTGCCCGTATTCGACACAGAACATTTTGGTGCCTCCTGTGAGGTAGTGCTTCGATCCGCGCAAGAAACGCGTTACATCCTGCAGACTGCCTCACACGTACGAAGAGCGGATCATCCGAGTTGACAGATAGAAAGACGAGTTCAGCCGCATTCAGCGAGCCGGTAAGAGTAAGTCGTTCAGTTCCAACAATCACATTCCTACACGTATCAAAATGTCCGATAAAATCAAATTCCTCGTACAAAAAAGAACGTCATTGAAGTCACAAATAACAAATCTGGCTAATCTCGTCGGAGATGGGAAAATAGATAACGCGGCTTTGAAATTACGAAGCGCTCGCTTAACGCACTTATATCACGCGTTCGAAGAGCATCATGATGAATTAGCTATGTTAGATCCAAACGAGAATCATCAAGTCGAATTCGAGACCATCCAGGAACGTTTTTATTGCCTCGCGTAATCGCACTTTTCGAGATGACCATTCAGAAGACTCGCTTGAACACGCGTCCCCCATCCGTCTTCGTGACGCTATTGAAACGATCCCTAAATTTGACGGACACAACATGCCCGTACATCAATTCTCCAAAATTTGTGAAAGAGCATTTGAGCTCATCCCGCGATATCATGAGTATCACCTCGTTCAATTGATCATCAATAAATTACAAGGCCATGCATACTCTGCAATTGAGGGAACACTACCGGTGAGTGTCCTCGATTTAACGAGGAGATTAAAAAGAATTTTTGGGCCTAATAAATCCGTTGACCAGTACCGTGGCGAGTTAGCCAACATATATACGAAGAATAATGAGAGTATTTTTGACTATGTAGCACGTGTACAGGAGTTACGTACAGCCATCATCGACGGTGAAACGGATAGTCTTGGATATATCGAGTCAACAAAGAAAAAGGAAATAGAAGACACCGTCATGAACAGTTTCATTAATGGTTTACCATCTGAACTACTCATCCGGGTTAAAATAGAGCAGTGTGGAACCTTGGAAGAATCGATTGAGACTGCAATTCAACTATCCAAGACAATAGAAGCTGAGAGAACGCGCAGGCGCCCGCTCGCAGTAAACCCACCAGCCCGTGCGGATCCTCAATACACGGTCCTGCAACGCCCCCCTCGCCCTTCGATACCTCTGGAAAGACCTCGACCCTTCATTAAACCTTTAATCCCCGGTCAGCCAGGACCAAACTTTCCCGGTCAACCAGGACCGAGCTTCCCAGCCACTAGGGTGTGCTATTACTGCAAAGCCCCCGGACATTTCAGGAATCAATGCCCGAAATACAACATGTATACTGGTGCGGGACAGGCCCCTCGTTACGAAGGACAGGCCCCTCGTTACGAAAACCAGCAACAGCCGGAAAACTCCGCCCGCGTTCCGACGACCGACGTCCCGCGGAGCGTACAGATCGAGAGACGTCCGGAGATGCAGGAAGCCTCGAGACCAATCCCTCTGCCAGCATCAACCTCAGCAACATAGAAACTTCTGAGGAGGACGACGAATTACCATCAGTGACAATAAAATCGAGCGATTTAAAAACCCGATGTATATTTATGGTCGATTCTGGTTCTAAATTCAATTTAATAAAAGAACGCTTTATTGAAAACCCCGCAACAATTAATTGCGATAATATTATTGAACTCAAGGGTATCGCGCCCGGCACTCTATTCACCAAAGGTGATAGTGAGATCGACTTTTTGGGACAAAAGGTCCTGTTCCATGTAGTATCGGATTCTATCGCGTTCCCGCACGACGGAATAATAGGAACGCCTTTCTTCAAAAATTATGAAGCTGTCATTGACTATAGGAAGCAATGTTTGACGTATGATAACATCAATATACCATTTACAAAAATCGAACGCGTTTATTTGACGGAACGATCCGTCACTCCTTTTCATGTTAATATTTTAAACACCGAGGTACGAGAAGGATACCTCCCACGATGCAATACGCATAAAGAGATCTACCTAGGTGAAGCCATCGTTACAAACCAAAATGGCAAGGCTAGTCTACCCATTTTTAACACCTCAGAGGAAGGAATGGAAATGTTAATACCAACAGTGGAACTGGAAGAATTCGACACAGCGGCAAAGGAAAACTTGGTGAAGGATAAGGAATATTTTACGAACTGCAATAAATCTATGGAGCTCCCATGCAATACCGAAACCCGAGGGAATGAGGTGGAGCATGATTCAGTTATTGAAGATACCCCCGTTGTTAATGATAAAGTTGAGCAAGGTCTAGTATTTACCCCCCCCCCCCCCCTGTGTTGACATCGCCGAGATCCGAGGATGCTCGGGCGGTCAATTAGGCATTAGTGGTAACGCCGTTGAGGACGACGTCGATCACTACTGCAATCCCCTTAGGAGCATTGCCAAGGTCCGAGGACGCTTGGAAGGCTCTGGTTGTCCCCTTGCTGGAATTAATAAGTGGAATTAATCAGTTATATTGTGTCAACGAGTTTGAAGACCGCACAAAGGAGATTTTAAGATTGTTGCAGTTGAACCACTTAAATAGTGAAGAAGCGAGTAATATTCGAACTTTAGTCGCTGAGGCGGCTGACCGATTCCACCTCCCAGGTGAGAAATTAGGCGCTACCAATTCTATTGAACACACCATTCTTACCCCAGACGAGCGTCCAGTTTTCACGAAACAATATAGGTATCCTCCAGTGCATCGTGAGGAAATCAACAAGCAAGTGAGCGATCTATTCACGAATAATTTAATCGACTATTCTACATCACCATACAGCTCTCCAGTATGGATCGTACCGAAGAAACCGGACTCCCACGGAAATAAGAAGTGGAGAATGGTCATTGATTATAGAAATTTAAATGAGAAAACGATAAGTGACGCCTACCCGCTCCCTAACATCATTGATATACTGGATCAGCTAGGATCAGCCAAATATTTCTCTGTCTTGGATTTGGCATCTGGATTTCATCAGATTTTAATGAGCCCTAAGGACGCTCACAAAACAGCCTTCACGACGCCATACGGACACTACCAATTTAAAAGGATGCCATTCGGATTGAAGAATGCACCCGCCACCTTTCAAAGATTAATGGACAATGTACTATCAGGACTTCAGGGAAACGAGCTCTTCGTATATATGGATGACATTGTTATATACGCAAGATCAATAGAAGAACATGAAATCAAATTCAGGAGATTGATACAAAGATTACGTTCAGCAAATTTAAAGCTTCAACCGGACAAGTGCAAATTTCTGTGCAAGGAAGTCGCATACTTGGGTCACATCATCGGATCAGATGGCGTTAAGCCGGACCCTGGGAAAATCAAAGCAGTAGCTGAATTTCCAAGACCACGATCCTTTCCCTACTCTTATAGCTACTAAAAATATACAAAAGAGTGGCTATCCTTGACCTTTCCCCTTGAGTGCATTTATTTTTATTAATATTATTTAATAAGTTTCCGAGAACGAAGGAAAATCCGCCTTCAAGTTTGGCAGCTGTCAGCGAGTAAGCTAGTAAGTGAGGAGCTGACAGAATTTTATTATATGATTTAACGTGACTTTCTATGATTTTATATGTTACTGTGTGACGCTATATAATTTATATGCTTTGACACGATTTTTATTTAACTTGATACGATTTAATACTATTTTATTCTATTTAATATCATTTTATATGCTTCAATACCCTTGTATGTGAGCCATACGTCTTTATACTATTTTATACGATTTTATATGATTCTATTTGATTTGATTCAATTTATATGACTTAATACTATATGATTTATTTGACTTTATATGATTTTATACGATTTTATTTGATGATTTAATATGGTTTTTATATATGATTTTATATTCTATATGTTTCTATGTGATGCTATATAACTTTATATGCTTCTATACCATTTTATATGCTCTAATACGATTTTATACGATTTTATTCGATTTAATGCTATTTCAGTTGTACTCGGGAAAGATCGAGAACATTTTAAATCCGGGTGATGCGTCCGAATCAAGTACCAGCGTGTCGAACGAAGAGGCACGACGCGATAACGTCGTACCGCCTATCGGAAAACGGCGAATCAAGTTACCAGAAGCGCCGTTGCCGACATTCGACGGTAGGTTCGAAGACTGGCTGTCGTTTAAGAACGCATTTTGCAACATGATAGGCTCGCGAACGGATTTAGCCAGTTAGAAAAGGGTGATCATAGTCAGTCGTAGATATCGCAATTGACCGTTCCGAAGCAGAGTTCGATCGCGACTCAGAGTTACGGCTCCCAGGCGTGGTCGCGATCGTAGTGTCCGGTTCCGGTGTGAGATAATAATCATACACGCAGAGACTATTGTCATCGTTTTAACCGCGGCTCAGGGCATCAGCCTCAAGGCGTTGCCGTGGTTCCTTATGCGACCGATTTGGATTATAATCAAAGTGTAAATGGAAAAATAAACTCGAACTAAAAATACAAAGGTTTTTTCATCAAGCGAAACAACGATACGAGCACGAAGGTGCCCGTATTCGACACAGAACAATAAAACTGTATAAAAGAAACCGCCTCGCTCGACGGTGCAGAAAAGTCGTTCAGATCGCTCCGCGCAATGTCAGACGTGCCTGTCTTCGTCGATCTCCAGGGCTTCATCGTTCGCGAGAGGTTTATAGTAAAGGAGGTAGCCGTGCTGCGAGACAAACATTGACGCATCATGTTTTTAACGCACCGATGGCTTGGGATCTATTAACGAGATCTGAAAAATCGCAAGCTTGCTGGCTAACGGCAAATCATCACGGCTTACACTGGAGGGACGGAGACATTCAGTACACACGCGCCAAAAAGATCGTACGGCGAGCCACATGTGACGGATTGGCGGACGATACAACGATCTACGTCAAGGGACTCAAGAAGAGGAAATGGCTCGAGGAGATTCTTGACGGCTGCACTCGCAATATCAACTCCATCGACGCTGATTACAAAGACATCGATCGTTTGCAGATTTTGACCACGGCTGATTCTTTCGCTTGATTTGACATTGAACGCAATCTTTAACGAGCAGCGGTGGACCGTCGATGTGTGTGCGTATAAAGAGCACGAACCATTATTGATATGTCAGATGCATGAATTACTAACGTATTTTAAGGACAAATATCCCATGAGAAATCAGTGAATCCATTATACCAAATACCCTTCGTTCCCTCCGACAAGTGACAGTGCTGAAAGTATCTGTTGGAACACTGACGCAGACCACCGCGTACACCGCGTTCAACAAAGAAAAGCATATCGATGTCGGTCAGCAGTTCAAATCGAACACCTGTATGTTTTAACATTGCATCCCCCATGTGTACCCCGGTAACGTGTAATAATGAGCAGGATCCAAATCGTAACTTCGCATGCAGTTGCCGAGAAAATTCTCAAAAACATCTGCCAATAATAGAACGTCTGTTTTCAAATATAAATCACTGTACTCGCCAAGATTATTGAACGTCCCGATTTGAACGGTATAAAGTCATCGTTAAGTGTACGAGATCTATCAAGACTCTCTCGCAACATTGTACGTGCTCCAAGTGTGTGAAAAGTATTCACTGAAAAAAATGGAGCAACTATACAGTTTAATGTTGCTGACCGACACTGTGAGCCACGAAGTGGCAGAGTTTGCGACAACTTTGGAAACCTTGTCATCAACTGTACGAGATATGTACAAAGATTTGGAACGGTTAAAGCAGAGCCTGCCAAAATTCGTTACGGTGGATGTGAACCTACACGTTAACGATAAAACGTTAACTACATTGTAAGTATACATCGTTGTAAGTATACATTTAAAGATGTAACACAAACGCACGCACGCACGCACACAGTTGCGTCAGATAGTATATATCTGTTACAGAAAATAGATTCTCACCTTCGCAAAAGACATAGCGAAACCTGTGGAGGATTATACGAGAAGAATGTTGGAGATATACGAGGAGTTGCATGCTTCAAGGAGGATGTCGGAGATAGACGGGGAGCTACACGGGGAGATTCAGAGTACAAAGAGGATGTCTGAGAATCATGGGGAGATGCAAGGTGTGAAGAGAATAAGAAAAACTAACACATTATACTATATATCTCTATCTCTATGATTGGAATTTGCCAGGAACACTTAGACCAGTTAAAGAAGCAGCGGGACTTCCAACTAAAAACCTGCTTGGCTGGTCGAGAGCTACAACCCTGACTACTGAACAAAGACAAACTTTGGAGGGAGCTGGGGTAGGACAAGTTGATTTCGGGGCTACCATTACTCGATTTCAAATGAATAAGCCACTTTTTGAACGAATAGCGGATTTCGTTAGACAGACAGAAAAAGTAATTAAACTATCACCAATGATTGGAGTTTCTGCTAACGGATCAGTAGCACAAGTTCAATGGCAAGAACGAGATGTGACACAAGATGAGGAATTTTCGCGTGCCACACAGTATCTTGAACGCGAAGTGAGACAGTGCAGTCCATCTCAAGAAGACAAGAGAATAACTGTCGGTACTCTAATCATAGCTTTAAGAGCTAGAAAAGACGAGATTGGAACAACAAAATTAAGATCATATTGTTATGATTTCACAAAGTATACCGCAGTTCCAGAGACATGGCACAATACTCGGAATACAATATTCGAAAGAGGTCGATCTGACATATGGAATGTTAGAACCTATAGATCCGCATTCACTGGTAAAGATCGGATCAGGACCGCATGGATAAATAAAACTATCATTTCTAAAAGTAGAACTTGATTATAAAGAAACCAAAGTAATATCCCTATATCTCTAAATATCTCTATAACTAACAAATTATATGTATATATCTGTAATAGTTAAATACAATAACATAAACTTTTTATTCTTTTGATACCCCTATTTTAGTATGTAATAAGTGTGAGGCGATGCAAGGGGAAGCTACGCGATAATGTAAGAAAATTCTCGGTTAAATTCCAATGATTATTATTATGAAAATGATTCTTTTGTCAAGGACCATGAAGGAATTTAAGAATGCCAGTGCACTTCCATTAGTGACCAGAAAACTTTGGTTTTATTTGTCTTACGACGTGTCTAGTACAGAGGTCTGATGGCGACTCAAGAAAGAAAGTTCGACCAGGATAGCCGGAAACCGCTTGCAACAGGTGGTTTTCCTAGAAGGCAGCCGACGAGATTTCGAGGAAATCGGTGGAGATCCTGGGGAAAGCGTGCGAAATCATTACACAAGGAGGGCGAGTCGACGTAGCGGACGAGTCCATCATTACACAAGGCGGGCGAGTCTACAGAGCGGACGAGTCCATTCATAGCGCAAGGCAGGCGAGTCTACGGGAGGACGAGCCTATTATACAAGGAGATCGGAAGGAGACCGAAGCGAGTCCATTATTCTCAAAGGCGGAAAGTAACCCGGCACACGAGGCGACGAAGCGTCGTATTATAACCAACCATCGAATTCCTAGTCCCGATCTATTTCCGGATCCTATAGATATCCCTTTAGGAGCATTATCCCCACCCATAATAAATACTCCTTTCGGGTACACATAACTACGACTTCTGCCAATTCTATTACAATTACCCTACGACATTGTACTCAATCTGGGATTGGCAATTAATATATTGTTACATCCAGTGGACTCCACGATTTCTTTCTTAAAATAGTACCGCGACCGTTCCCCCGAATGACCAATAAAAAGACAATAAGAAAACGACAGGTCATCGATCCTTGAGGGCACACAGCTGGAAGATAAACTAATCCTCTTCCCTTTTTACGATCTACAGCTGTGTTCTAGAAAAGATAGTTAAAATTACTCTATTAATAAACGATAAGAGGATTGGTACCCCTTGTTACAAAAGAAACAGGTGACAATCAGGTGCCACCGAATCCCCAGAAGAAATTAAGTTAAAAATTGTTGCTCCGATCCACCAATAAGCGCCAGCCAAATCAGCATATTCCACCCACTCCCAACGAAAAATACAGTATATAAACCCTGATTCCGCGGAGGAAAGAGCACTTAACTTAACTTCTTCAGTACCTAGACCTTATTATAAGAGTGCGTCACCAGATTCTAAAATTCGGTTGCGCGACACCAACAAAACAGTCCACGGTCTCGACGTTCTCGACTTCTGCGGAGGAAAAGAAACTCCATCAGCTCCGTGAGCCGCCGAGGGTCCGTCTACCAACCTTGCGCCAACTTATCGGTGACCACTCCTTCAGGGATGCGAATACTATCTAAGATCTATATCAAGTAAGTCCTCTTCCCTCTCGTCGGTTTTTTTATTTTCTAAAGACCCAATTTATAAATCCGCGACTAAACCAAAGCCACTTTACAGTGGACCAAGACTTTGCGCTCGCAGAGCTAGAGGGGGGTTGGACCAAATCCACAGACTCGCCCAACAACTCGTCCACGAATTAGGCGCGGATATTCAAGTGCCTAAATTATTAAATTTCTCTCCCCCCGAGTACGACCACCTTCCTCCCTCTCCGCCTACCACGACCTATTCTTTATCTCCCTCTTACTCCCCTGTGCTTTCTCCCATTGATTTTATTCCCCATTCCCCCTCTAACTCTGACTCCAGCGTGGAGTTTCTTACTGAGATCCCCGACGTGGAATTTCTCGAGGAAATTCTCTTGCAGAATTAGCAGAAATCGCGGATAAACTTGCGGACATTAATGGTCCCAGTTCCGCGGTCGCCGTTGTCGCGCCGAAAAAAGAATCCAAAAGCGCTCGTCCCTTCCCCAGGGAATTCCACGTCCGACGTGGAATTGCTGCCTCCACCTTCACCCACCAATTCCGTCTAGCGTAGAATTGTTATTCGAAGATATCCCTTCCCGACCTCCCAGCGCCAACACCTCTCCCGTGGAGTTCCTTGGGGAACTCTTACCTTTGTCACCCTTAGACCACCCCTTCCCAGAGTTCCCTCCACCTTTCCCCACCGCTTCCACGCCCAGCGTGGAACAACTGATCGATGAAATCACATTATAGAAACAAAAATACATTCATACGCTTAATTGTAATTATATACAATAAAAATATATAAAATTATATATAAATTCAATCATTTAGAACTAATTATTTAGAAAAAACCTCCCATTTCATTCCTATTAGTTTTAAAATTGCACAGGGTCCGTCCCCGGGTAAAGAGATTAAATTCTCTGACCTAAAATAGGACCCACGGGCGTGTAGAGCTCGAGGAGGCGTCATAGTGAGCTTTGGCTCACTGACCAGAAACGCGGAACGTTTTCCTAGGCGTGCACATCCCACATACAAAACAATATTACGTGTTGTGCGACAATTAAATGAAACAGGCTGTCTCGTACACAATAAAAATAATGCACCGGTGCGTCGTCGTTTACGAGACGAAGAAAGAGTACTCGACGCATTCGATGAAGACCCTGGGACTAGCGTGCGCCGTGCGGCGCGCGATTTTGGTCTGTCGCGGTCTGCAGTGCATCGTATTTTACGTACGAATGATTTGCATCCGTATCATTACCAACGTGTGCAACAACTTTTACCGAGAGACCTACAACAACGGATAAACTTTTGTGAAGGTATTACCATTACATCAACATTTTATATTCGATAATTTGAGAATATGTATAATAACCGGCGGAAAAATATGTGTAGGTTTTCTTGCGCAATGTCGGCGGAATTTATCTTTCCCTGATAATATTCTGTGGACCGACGAAGCCACTTTTACGCCAAACGGTGTTTTTAATTCGCGCAATTTTTTGTATTGGTCCGACGAAAACCCACACGTCATCCATGAAGGCGCATTTCAATACCGTTGGTCAATTAACGTATGGGCCGGAATAATCGGGAATCAAGTGGTAAGTTCAAATAAAAAGAAAATAACTTTTTCTCCACTTTTAACAAATTCCACCTCCACGTTAAAGCAAAACATTTTCGTTCATAATTTTCAGATCGGTCCGTATTTCTTCTCACCGCGTTTAACTGGCGCCGTTTACAAAACATTTCTTCGGAACGAGTTGCCAGCGCTCCTCGAGAATGTGCCTCTTCGCGTACGAGCGCAATTAATTTTCCAACACGACGGTGCTCCGGCTCATTTTCATCGTGAGGTACGTGAAGAATTAAACGCGCGTTATCCAGATAGGTGGATTGGTCGGGGTGGCCCGATCACCTGGCCGGCACGGTCGCCAGATTTAAACGTATTAGACTTTTTTATGTGGGGCCACATAAAAAGTCTAATCGAAAACCGGCGTAATGGTACACAAAACGAGGTACGTGAAGCAATTGTTGCGGCCTTCAATACGATAACGCCGGACATGGCGCACCGTGCCACGCGGAATATCGTTCGAAGAGCTGAACTTTGCGTACGAGAAGGAAACTTGATATATATATATATGCATATTCTTTTTTCCTTGTATAAATAATTGGAAGACGACTCCGCATGTTGATTGTTAAAATAAGACTTGAAATTAATTTTGTGAAAGTGAGATAGAAACACATGACTTCTAAAACAAGACTGCAAATTTTATAAATAAAAATATACGTTGAGAGAAAGAGAGCTTAAATAATCTTTACACAGAAAACTCCATTGAACAAAAGTAGCTTAGAAAATAGCAGAAATAACACTGTTTTTAGGAACTACTGAAAAAAAGAAAAATAAATAGACAATTACAAACTGGCACTTGTGCTTAAGTACACTGTGGCGGCCTACGGCAGCCACAGGCGCCGGGCCCCCGGCAACCACGAGGTCACACGCACCTGACGCTTAGCACAGGGCGCCCGGCCCCCGACATAAGCGCCTGGCGCTAGCCCCACGCCGGGCGGCCGCGCTAGTTCGCGGCGCCGCCGCTATGCGGCGGATTCTCTCGAGTGAAATTTAGTGACTACCAGTATATAAGGGAGGAAAATGCGAGCATTTTCACTTCACTTCGGCGCTCAGTCGCCACGTAACCAAGCGCATAGCCGCTGTCTCTTGCGCCCTAGACGCATACAAAGCGCTGAGTCGCTCTCCTTCGGGAATATAAGCGCTGAGTCGCTCTACTTTGATTCTATAAAACGCTGAGTCGCTCTCCTTCGGGAAACATAAAGCGCTAAGTCGCTCTACTCCAATACTACAAGCGCTGAGTCGCTTCCCTTCGAGTTTCAAAGCGCCGAGTCGCTCAACCACGTGCGCATTAGTCGCACAACAAGCGCTAGACCGCTTTATCTCAAAGGCGCCATGGTTTCGCCAACGAAGCGTAAATCGCTGCATCGTGAGTGAAGATCTGCGTAAAACGCATAGACTCGAAGCGACACATTTCAGATGGAATACTAACTCTATACTTTCTTTCTAGACTCGGTTTCCAGGCACGAACGATCACGTCCATGGAAATCCGAGCGGTCCCACCAGCCTAGACAGGAGGACTGTCTACCGGTACAAAGGAAAACGCGGCCTATACCCTTAGACCAATACTTAAAACGACGACGAGCACACGACAAGTCAAAAGCGGTCCCGGCTCCACGGTCTCCCTCTCCAGCTCCACGGGCTCCATCCCCGGTTCCGCGGACTCCATCTCCCGCAACGCGGACTCCCTCACCGGCTCCCTTCAAAAAGCCCAGCACACCGCGGACACCTTCGCCCGTTCCCATCTATGGTACGCCGAAGGGTAGGAGACCTCTCACACCGCGGACCATCCTGTCGCCATCAGACTACGTGGAAAATATTCCGCCGAAATCTTTCCGTAGTCTGATGACGCAGACCGTGCCAACCCTGTGCGACTTTGGCACCCAGACGGATCCTATCCTCATACCAAAACCCTCGACACCGGCCCCGCTCATCGTCAAGCGCGACGCGTTTACACAGACGAAGAAACGCGGCGGCCAGGCTCGATATAGCCCCTATTCCATTTGTACTCCTCGACGGATATAATCCATATGTATCGTATTTCCTATTCCTTAAATAAACCAATATATATATCCTTAGCCATGAGGCATTAAAAGAGAAAGAGTCGAAAAGTTAATTTCCTCCCTTGCGATCCATTTCCTTGGGCGTTCCTAAAATAGAGTTAAGCGAAGTAAGCCCCATATACACCCAAGCATAAGTCCCTGTATTTCACGTAAATCACATAATCACATTTCATGCGTACGTTGTTCGTACATCACATAAGTACAGAAATTCCTGTGATAAGTTTAACGCTACATACATATGTACAAGGTAAAGGTAGTAACATGAGCAGTTGTTTGAGCACGCGCGTGATTCTCTCGCGGCTCTACTTGTTAGACTCGTTGTAAGATGCCCTGCCAGCCAGTTCTAGTAAGTAACGATCGGGATGGTCCAACCAATCGCTCGCGCTCAATTTGACGACCCTCTGCTTCTCCGCTTCTTTCACCTGCCACTTCTTGATCTCCAATTGCTTTTCCCTCAGTTTCGTATCGCCGCAACCCCAGACTTCCAGGCTGGCGATGCGGTAAGGCGCGCCGGCGATAGACACGGAGTGGAACGACTCGTCGATGCTGATGAGCGGCGAGCGCGGATCGCTACCGAGCCGCAGGCCGTGCGGATAGCCCCTGATACTCGTGTTCAGATACAGTATCTTCGGACCTTTCTCCATCAACTTATAGGACGGAATCAGTTGTACGGCCACCGAGTCTTCGTCGCCTCAGTAGAGATGACTCTCTCGCCACTCGACGGCCGAGCACACGCAATACGTCGGACATTCCTCGTCCCTCTCTACACTAGCGGCTCTTATAATTAGCAGAGTGGGACCTCTGTAACCTAATACATGGTGAAGGAAGCGATTAGCCCCGGCCCCGTGCTCTCCGCTATTGTACAGTAACGTCCAATGCCTTGGACAAATAGTGCCTGTTCTTCTGGCTATCAAAGCGTGAGTTATGTCCTTCGGCGAATCGTTGGTCTGGAGGTAACACTGCGGTAGTGTACACGACAACAGCCAGACGTAGCTAATCGGCAGCGAGTTCGCCTGCGGGAACTCACGATCCGACTTTTCCAGCACGGGAGTGAGTACCTCCACGGGGGGCTGCGGCTGCTCCTTCGACAGAAGCGCCTTGCCGTTGCGATAGGCAGTTGTTAACACGTGCACCACGTATCGTTGTAGGCCGTACACCAGGCGCGGACAATGCTGCCTGATCCAATTGCTCACGTAACTCGTAAACAAGCTAGTCTTGCCGTGAAAACATGAAACAACAACCGCGTTTATTATCTGCTGCGAGTGAAGGCACAAACTGGTGCTGTTGTTCTCCATCGCTAGCTGGTAGCAGCACATCAGCAACGCTCGCAGCGTCTCCGGCGTGACGTTGCCGCCGTTCTATACGTCGGAGTACATCTTTATGTAATTCTCCAATATAGCCTGGTCGTTCATCACCGACAAAAATTTCTCGGCCTGCTGCTTGAAGGCCGTCGTACTTATGTACGCGGTCGTGGCCTGGGCGTTGTGGTGCAAGTAAGTGACATCCTTCGAAACATTATTTCGAACAATTTATGCATTAAATGATGAGAGTGGATTAGGCCTACCGGGGAAACCACTATAAAAAAAAACGCACCAAGCTATCTACCGCAAGATAGTGTGGAAATGATAGCGAGTCATTTTCCTACCACCGAAAAGAAGGAACAATTATTAGTCGGCGCGGTGTCAAACGGTGGCGTATAAAATGATTGACAATGTTGTCATCTGATCTACAGGAGAAGCCCGTGGCGAGGGGCGAGGGGCGAGGGGCAACGGCAACGGCGAGCGCGAGCGGCGAGCGGTGGGTGGTGGGAGACGAGCGGCGAGCGGAGAGCGGCAGCGGCGGTGACGAGCGCGCGCGGCCCGCTACGTCCACCGAGCCCGGCCTACAGTCGGAAGCCTGTTTCCGCGCGTTCATTCGCTTAGACATAATAATTAATAACTGAATAACTATTGCGGATTTTGTATCAGGTTATCTGATTTTTCTTTTCAGTTTGCCCTAATCTATCTACATATTTCGGTTGAGCACAAACTTATGAGACACCCTGTATTTTTAAACAGTTTTTACATAGTAATTATTTTTAAAATAAATAAAACATGTTAACATGCCTTTTGATTTTACAAAGAAATGTTCTTTTTAAGGAATGTTAAATTATTTGTGAACAAAAATAATAAGAAATAAAAACCATTTTTACAAACATAATAATAATGTTATTATATTTAAATTATTACTTAGTTCGGTGCACCAATATTATACGAGGGTGAGTAAAAAATTATCCGTACTTTTCGTTCTACAATTTATTTACACAAAAATAGGGGTTCAATATGTACGTCATTTTTCGACATAGTCTCCTCTCTTGGCAATGCACTTGGTCCAGCGGTCCACAAGCGCATTGCTTCCAAAGAAGAAGGTGTATTTCTTCCAAAAAGAAAGCCACTTTTGCACCGCTTCCTGCAAGCCCAAATCTTGCTCCCTCCGACTTTCATCTGTTTCTGCCGCTCAAGGATGCTTTGCGAGGTCGTCAAATTTCTACAGACGTAGACGTGCAGGAAGCGGTGCAAAAGTGGCTTTGCGACCAACCGAAAATCTTCTTCTCGGAAGGTATACGCAAGCTTGTGCACCGCTAGACCAAGTACATTGCCAAGGGAGGAGACATTCGCCTTCCGGCTCTCGTGCGAATAGGACGTGTGAGAGTTTTAGCGGGGTCCGTTGCGTCATCTCGCCCGAGTGTCTTGTTTGAGTGATCGCGGGCGCGAGTGGGGTGTGTTTGTGGTTAATAAAATACGCTATCGGACTAAGTGATTGGCCTTAGTGCATATGCAGGAGGCACCGGCCTCCTGCGGGACCTTGGACAAGGGGGGGTCTCCCGGCATTCCTCCTCTGTTCCCTCCTCCTAATCCCTTATCTGACGAAGTCGAGAACAATGAGCTGTCGGTGGGCGATGGATCCGTTCTTTTGGCTGACGGGATAACGCGTAATTCGTTTCTCTCTGAGAGCGAGGTGCATACCTCTACCTCTACCTCTTCCGAGGCACCGTCGCTTCAATGCACCATTAATAAGTTGAGCAAGATTCTCAACGCTAGTGCTGTCCCGGGGGAGTCGTCGAGCTTGTATAAAGCTGTAGAGAGGCTGCGGAAACGCAGTCGCGATTCCTCGATAAAGAAAGCCGCCATGGGTAAGAAATCGAAAAAGTCGGTACTCGGTACGGAGAAAAAGCTTAAAGAATCATTAGCTCCCACGGAGATGAATTTTGATATTCTTGCGACCGGTGGGCTTCCCCTTCCTTTGGGGAATAAAACCCTTGAGTCTTTGGAAAGTAATAGTAATGAAGATGCAGATAACAGAATGGATTGCGTCAGCACCCCCCTCCCCCTGCTTCGCATACTACTAGTTCTGCGGTTCCTCTTGGTTCCTCTTTGCCTATTACTGGTTCGTTCCAGCCGTCCGCAACCCCGCAGGGCAGGTCCCTACCGGATAAGTACTCAAGTTCTGATCTCCCACCATATGTCGTGCACATTAGGGACAGCAATTCCCCCCCCCCCCCATGCATCCCCTGCACATAAGCCGCACGATATCCGCTCTCTGCCCGAAAGGGCTAGGCGAGGTCACTAGGATAGGAAAAGGTCAGGTTGCGGTGATGATGGACTCACCATCGGACGCTAACAGGATTGTCGCTGAAAAAGCACTGGAAAAAAAGGGACTTCTCGCTTACATTCCGGCCTACAAGCTGTTACGTGCTGGAACCATAAGAGGCATTCCTCTGGACTTGGATATACCATCCATTAAAGATAACATAAAGGCTACCTGTAAAATTAGGGAAATTTCAAGGCTGAACCGTAGGATTAAAAGCGAAGGTACGTACAAATACGAACCCTCTCCTACTATTATAATCAAGTTTCATCAAGAACATAAGGTTAGCTCAGACCAGCGCGATAGCTGTGATATGCAATGCGATCCTCAATGCGCAATATACAATAAGCGTACAGATTTTCCGAAATAGCATATGTTCATTGGATATCACGCGTCGCGTGTCGCACATAGACAGTGGATTATACCTACAGAGTTAGGAATATAGGAGTACTATATATATGTTGAAAACATATTTACGCTCCTGAGCCTCGAGCGGCCCGCCGCGCGCCGGTTTCGCGCGGGACGGCGAGGTAAGGGGGGTAGGGGGGTAGCGCTGGTAGGAACAACTGAAAATCGGCCGCGAAGTGACCTATCTCGCCGCGCGAGCTCTGCAACAGAGCGTTGCGCGAAGCGTAGGAATATTCTAGTGCCGCGTAGCAGTGATACGTAGTGCCACATGGACGAAGTTTCCAGCGATTTTCGACAACATGTGCACGAAAAATAGTACGCACGATTTGTTGAGTAACTGGGGATTTAGTACGGAAGTAATTGCGAACTTCACAAGTAAGTAAGTAGGTTTATTTGTGACTAAATGTGAGAGAAATATATAGCTTTCTTACCCAGTCAGAAATGTCCCGTCAATCGACGTCGAAACGACGTCGTATGGACATCGAAACCGTCATAATGATGTCGATTCGACGTCGTTTCGACATCGATTGACGAGTCATTTCTGACTGGGTATTGTTCAAGTCAAGTTTTTTTTTGAATGGGAAAAACTAGACTCTATCATAAAGAAAGAAAAGGATACCTTGACCAATGACCAAAAGGTAGAAGTAGTATATAAAATTGACTGCAAGAACTGTAACGCTTCATACATAGGACAGACCAAACGACATTTAAAAACTCGTGTAAATGAACATTCAAAAGACATCATGAAACACGTAAGCAACCACTCTGTGGCCAGCAAACACCGTACATCACATGGTCATGATTTCGATTGGTCTGCTCCTCATGTATTACACCAAGAGAGTAACACGAGAAGGAGAGAGATAGCTGAGATGGTTTTTATAAAAAGGACTAAAGATACAATTAATTTACAAAATGACACTGAAAATCTCAACGCTATTTATGACCGAATTATTGATCTGACTTAATTTTTGACATCATTTATTTCTTTACTTATTTATTTATTTCTTGACCTATTATTTGACTTTCACTTATTTTTACCGATACCCTCTACATATCGATTCAGTCAGTCATGCTTTGTCAGTGCTCAAGCTAAGTTAACACTCGCATAACAGGTAAGTCTATAAATTCATTTAAAAAGAAATCTCTGCAATTTCTCTCTCTTTAACACTCTCAATTTTAGATCATAATGACTATCCTTTCAACACCAACGTAATACATGTGATTTTATACACACGATTACCACAGGTAACACACAACTTATATAACCGTCAACTTATTATCACAAATATGAAAACGTTATTAATTTGTAAAATTTAATTTGTAACAGTTACGATCGCTTGAAAAGGACCAAAACCCATGGTCGAAACGTCGCGATAATATACCATTAAAATTGATTCCGACGTTTAGAACATGTCAGTTTACTTCTTCAGTGAGCGAGGCAATCTGAAGTAAACTGAAATGTTCACAAAACGTCGGACAAAATAATACAAAGACGCGGTAATAACCCGTAAGTCGAACAGGATCAGCTACAACAGTTTTGTAGTACATAGCTACATTTATGGCTGCCACAGACACAATTTTCGTTGCGGGGCAAACCTCGGATTTACAACGTTTTTGTAGCTGCCATGTGCATATTTGTCGGCACAGCAAAATTATTAGCTATGGAAACAAAACTTGTGTCTCTGGCAGCTAAAGAATGTGTAAGCTACAACTAATTGATGTAGTACATATTGTCACAGAATTGTCTGCATTGTCTACTACACCTAAATTTCTGTCTGCCCTAGTCATAGGCCTCGCAGCTAATGGAATTAGATCTCGCAGACACAATGTTAGATGTCCATATAATACCACTGAAATTTAGCTGTCACACCTAATTTTTAGCTATGGCAGCTAATCTTTTTTTCCGTGTATCTATCTTTCATTCTTTCTGATTTCACTCTATTTCTGGTTTTAATTTTTTCATTCGATCTTTCGCTTCTTTCGCGGTTTCTGTTTCTATTTCTTTTGATCTTTTCTTCTTTGCCTTTTTCTGTTTCTTTTATTCTGCACTTAATTGTTCTTTTTCTTCACCTTTCTTTATTCTTTTTCTCAATCTTTTTTTCTTTCAATATGGCAATATCCAATGAACTGGAAAAAAAAGACTAAAAAAGTTTTTTCAAAAGTTTGGCTTAGCGATGATCGCTACAAAGAGTGGATACGCCAAGTTCCTTCTGATAAAACTCTCTTTCATTGCAATATTTGCAACAAAACTTTTTCATGTTCATTGCATGTTTCCAGGCATGTGGATTCTGCGTGTCACAAAAAGAATAAAGACAATACTTCATGTCCACAAAACAAAATACAGAGCAAAAGAATATTCCGACAACAACAATTTAGATATTTCAGAGCTCAAATTATGGTTACGCGAAGTACCTAATAATACCAGGGCATTTTCTTATTCACTGTGTGATAGAACAATTGTTATCACGGGTGGACTAACACAAATATATCGACA